ATTTTAAGGTTCGATTTGTTTCCTGAAAGGTCGCTGGATGTTGTTGTGTAATGTCCATTGTCTGCTAATCACCGTTCCATATATTTTGTTCAGTGTGGCTTTCTGTTTGTTAATTAGGGGGATGGAAATTTGTTTCAGAAAAGAATGCAGTCCGATTTCTATTACTCCATTTTAGCTAGAAAAAAGTGAAATATATAAAGGAGCATCAGTAGGAAAAATAAAAAGAAATGTGTAAAGACATTGACACTATATTGATCTGAAGAGAGTATTTAGTGTTTGAACAGATTGATAGAGCTGAATCAAATTCTCTGATTGAAAGCTCAGATAGCAGAAGAAAAAATTTGGTTTTATTCTGTGCTGATGTGGTAACCATCTGTCTTTCATTCAGGTCTAGTTCCATTCTACCTAGTTAAGATAATGGAAGGAAGAGCCTATCATTTTGAGTTCAGTTAGACTTCTGGTCCTCATATAAATTTTTATAGGGCTGCAAATATATTTAAAAAAAAAAAGCCTTTGGAAAGAGAATTGCCATATACTGAAATCTGAGGTAGAGACAGAAACACAATTTTGACACTTAAAAGAATCAACACAAACTTGAAAATGTGCTTCCATACATCTGAGGTGGTGTGAACCTATCCACCCAAGTCATGTTGAATGGTGTTAGCCAGCGTTACCTCAATAAGTAAATAAATATAGTGGAAAAATAAATAAGTTGCAAATTAATAGAGAAAAAGTGCATATCTTAACTGTTATACTCATCACGTACCAAATAACCACAGCGTGATTTGCAATCAAAAGAGAAAGCAGATTTTCCTTTTGTTTAAGTTAGCAAAGTGTCACCAAGATTGTGCACATATTATTTTAAGTACAGTGAGATTAACTCTGTAACCTCGGGCTTTAGGTCATAGAATGCTTATGGAACTGTATCCAGTATCACCAAAAAGAAAAAGTAGGAGAAAGAGAAAGAGGAACGAGAAGGAAAGGAGAAGTCATCTCCTGGCATCAGTATGTTGATGCTTAAACTCTGCTCAGGATGAATGGGGGACATTTGCTCTGTGGTTATTACATGCCAGTTCTCTCTCTCTCTCTCTCTCTCTCTCTCTCACACACACACACACACACACACACACACACCATTTGCTCTGTGGTTATTACATGCCAGTTCTCTCTCTCTCTCTCTCTCTCTCTCTCTCACACACACACACACACACACACACACACACACCATCTCTGCTTCTCCTGCTCTCTCTGCTTTGTGTCCAGGAGACCTACTTCAGATTGCCTCTCAGGTTCACTGACATCCTTCTGGTTTCCTGGCGTGGGTTTATCTAACGGGAATCGCCATCAGGAGAGGGGGGTTAGAGAGGTGGAGAGGTCAGGGAGTTATTCTCCTGCCTCTCTCTCCAGCTCGGCGCTGACAGCTGTGACACTGTCCTTCTGGACTCTACTGGGTAACCCCTTTTCAAAGCATTCAGCTCTCCGTGAGAGCACAGCAGCGCCATCCTCTCTCCCCTTCCCTTCAGCCCCAGGGAAGATCCTGGCTCCAAGACCCTCTATTGTGAGTCCCTGGGCACCCAGCACCCCTTGTCAGTTACCTAGCTCTGCCCTTGTCTCTCAATAGTCCCTCCATTAAAATCTTTTCAAAATCCCAGTTGGAAGTGCCATCTGTTTCCTCCTGACTGATACGAGCACCTTCTGTATTGTGAATATCAAGTGGGGTGGCTTAAGGCAAGAGTGTAGCGAAATATCAGCTTAAGGCAAGAGTGTAGCGAAATATCAGGAAACTTCGCTTGCTTGAAAGTTCAGTTGATGAGAGAACAGTGCTAATGAGGCCAACATGTGTGTCCGGCTGTGATCCCAGAGTGCAGGCTGCCGCCCTGACCAGCCACTTCACACAGCATCAGTTCCAGAAGGGCCTGCCCAGCCCCACGTCCGGGACCACGGTTCACACACCAGCGTCCTGCTGAGACGGCGTCAGAATCATCTCCGTTCCCAAAGGACAGCTTCTGTAGTGGAGGCTAATGAAAATTTGATAGAGATTATTTAAAATAGGAAAGCTATCCCTTCTCATATTTTTTTCAAAGCTATGCTTTCACTTCAGACTTCACGTAGCTAATTCATAAACATTTGGATTAAAAGTCAAGGTTATCAAAATATACCTTATGGTGGCCATGGGGTCCAGGTTTTATAGGAATATATATCTAATTCATTTCCTTTAAAATTGTCTGAACTGCCATGATTAAACAAGTGAAACAGCATAATCATCATCCAGTGAGTAAATAGTTTTTATTTTCTGTTTGTTTGAAGTGATTTTCTGGTTACCATGTGTGAATGACAGTTTTAATTGCTGTCCATGTTTCCTCAACATGAAACACTTTTTACTTCTATTCTACTGCCTTCTAGGCCACTGTAGACATAGTATTAAAGTTGCTATACTGGATTTACTTCCAAGGTGTTAATTTTTATATAATTTGAATACATGTGAGGGAGAGAGAATTCTGTTCCTTTGCCAGAAATCCATTTCTGGGACTCACTCTCAATGAGAATGAAGTACTATTTCTACTGAATTTGAATCGTCCTTTGAGTAAAATGTGCTAAAATACTAAAGCAAAATACAGTGCCGTCACTGGTGGACATAATGCTGATCCCCTCCATAAGATCTGATCATTTTTTATACATTGTGTTTATTCTTAATCACTTTCCTAAAACATAATCTGAGTTTTATTTTTGAACAAAACCTCTTGAGTCATTGTGATAAGGTCAACAGAAAGCGCAGTCTTTCAACATTAGGTGATCAACTTTTTGACAGTAGCAAGACCAGCATAGCTAATGGAATAATAGCCTGCAGGGTCCAGCTAAATATGATAGACGAATGTAATCAACCTCAGTGATGACTATTCAGAAGTAATCCCTTTAGCTCTGAACTGCAACATATATTTCAACAAGGCAAAACCCACATGAAGAAATTCTCTGCAGACCACACTGATACAATACAGCCTTCATATCCTGCCCTCTGTGTTTGCTGCTTCTAGTGAGTTTTAAATTTAAGGTAATGACTACTGTATATTCATGTGAGCCTACAACAATACTTTTGATTTGTTGTGGAAAGGTTGAATCCATTACCAGGGGTCTAGTCTATAAACTCTGACACAACCTTTAAGTATGAGTTATTATTCACCCTTTTCTAGAATAAGACCACTAAAAGTGTTTTGTATAGCAAAATTATAAAAATTCATTTACCTTTGCAGGTAGTGTCCCCTCTATTGCAAGTCACATTTCCCCATGGATAACATTTCTTAAACCTCATTTATATATAATAATGTCTTAAATATATTTGTTTTCAAATAAAGGGATGGGATGGTTGGTTGACTGCAGCTTTGCATTTGCTAACTTCTTCTGTTGCTACTTGGTGCAATAAGGGCCAAGCGATGTTATAAATGAGACCTTTTGTTACACACCTGAGGGAATCTACCATTGGAAAGTCTTTATCATTAGCATCAGAGAAATGCCCGTTTCTATTGAAATGGCACACAACAGAAGCAGGTTTCCCACTCCCAGTTTTGTCTGGATTCCGGTCTCCTGTGGGAGTGGTGTTATTCCTAACCTTTCAACTTTCTCTAGGTCCTACAGGTCAAACATCTCAAGTCAAATTCTTAGCCCCATAGCACAAAACCTAGGTCAGGAATCAAAATGAGTGTTTTTTCAACAATGGAACCAGAATCAAAAATGTGTTGAACAAGACTCAGCTTGTTCAACAGGAGAAGTACCAGCTCATCTGAATAACGAGTTCAAATATTGCCTTGTGCCCATCAATCACTGCTAAGGTTTCTTAGCGCAGGGGTGTGTGTGGCTGTGTTTTATTTCAATTAGCCACTTTAGCCCACATTGAGTAAAAGAATAGTTGCAAATACCCCTATTCTCATGGAAGCTATTTGATAGCAAAACAATCACCTTTGCTCAACAATTGTCTGAAACCAATCAGGCATTTCAGACTTGGAATATACAGGAAAGATTTCTTCATCTTGAGAGATAATTTTACATTCTGACAAACAAAAGGGAATGCAAGTTCAAGACATCATTAGCAAGTGCAAAACAGCCAGTAAGATATTAGCACAATTCTGTAGATTATAAAAACAATTAACTGAGAAGTTCCTGATAAAGTTCTTTACCTAAAAGAATAGGAGAACGTATTACTGCAGGTAAATACTACGCTCCTATTCCATATCCCCAAAATACGGTAACTGAAGAATATAGACAATTGCTTCCCCCTTCATCCCAAAATGAGCTGTCTACACATAGGAGTTAGCCCTATAGGCATTCAGGGGCATGACCTCCCATCTCACTGCCCCATTACCCCCTGGGCACAGTTTCTCAATCAGGCACTATTGAAATATTGAGCCGGGTAAATTTGGGGGGGGGGCACAGTTACCCCCTGGGCACAGTTTCTTAGTCAGGTACTATTGAAATATTGAGCCAGGTAAATTTTTTTTTGGGGGGGGGAGAGAACAGGACACACTACAGGCCCTGTAGGACAGTTTGCACAGCCCCGCCTTCCACCCACCAGATGCCAGGGCACACCTCCCCCCACCTCCGTCAGTGGTGACTGTCACAGACAGTCCCCAACATTTCCAAACACCCCCAACTGGGAACCACAAAGCAAGTATCAAAAGAGCAACAAAGGGAGCTTCCTCATCATTTCTGTAATTACTTCTCCTACATGCTACTGATTGCAGTCCCGTGAAGAGCTCAATCTCAAGAGAAGGGGATTAGATTCTGCCTTGGCAGAAAGGAGGCAAAGTCATGCAAGAGAGGGACGCATAGAGTGGGGAATTTCCTAGTGACCATCTTTAACTGATACAGTCTGCCCTGGCGCTACATACATTTTTATCTCACAAGTAATAAAGGTGCATATCCCTCAGAGGGATTCCCAGGTACGAGCTCAAAATAACTGTACATTGTATTGGTGATAAATCATTAAATGTATACATCTTTTTCTTTAGGAGATTTTAGAAGATCCACACTTGGACACTTACCTCCAGACCCAGAACATGTGGAAGAAGAGCTCAGAGGGTATGATAAATCAAGTGAAGTTACAATTTAGTGCCCACGTTGTGCAAGCTTCTATGTATAATCTAATTCTCCAGACATAAATAAGAGTCATTGTCAGAGACCAGCTCCAACTATTGAGGTGTCTGGAGGCAGGACAGGCAGGACCCTAAGGTGGGAAGGCATCGGTGAGTGGAGATTCCTAAAAAAGGGGAAAAGGGAGAAAAAAGGGGAAAGGGGAGCGAGGAAGACACGGGAGTCAGAGTTGGGTGCAAGTCTTCCTGCTCTGCCTTCAGCAGAGGTTTATTCTATACATTACGAGGAAGCAGTGAGATGACATCAGCACACAAACTGGGCTGAGATATTACAATCATCTTTGTTTTTCCTAAGAACAGTTTGGGGTTGTTTTGACCCTTGCTTGAGATGACAACATTCTAAAATCAATCAAGGTAAAAAAACAGGTACATAAGTGCACAAAATCTATGACTAATATTACTATAGTGGAGATCAACTAAGATAGAAGTCCCTTAAACCTTACAACTATTTAATGGGTTTGTTTTTCTGCCTTAATCATCCTGGGAGACAGAAGAGGAAATTCCTTTAAATCAAATCTCTGAGTAGGAGACATAGGTGGATTTCTTTATCTAAAGACTACATAGTAGAATCCTGAAAAACTAGCCAGAAGACTTTTGTGGATTAGGAGACATAGGTGGATTTCTTTATCTAAAGACTACATAGTAGAATCCTGAAAAACTAGCCAGAAGACTTTTGTGGATTCCTTTAAGGTATAGTAGGTGGAAAACTTGACTAGTTTAAAAAAACAGGCAAACTGGATGAATTTCCACATCTAAAGGCCAAACAATAGGAAGTTTGAGTAATTCTTTAAAAAGCTGAATAGAAGGCTAGGTGAGATAATAGAATGATAAGACTTGGGTTATCCTCTATCCGGCAGTGAGAGAGACTTTGCAGAAACAGCCCTTTTGCTTTTATTTATCAGTCAGTAGTCAAGTCACTTGACTTCAGGGGAATTTTTTCACCCTGGTGCACTGCTTGCTTGTCAAGGCAGGCAGGCCTTGTACGGCTGAGGCAATCCAATTGTAAGCTGAAAGTTGCTCAGAATATTTTGATATTACGGTTATACAAAAAAGGGAGGTCATAACATAAGTTAGCGTGGAAAGTCTGATTTTTCAGAGCAATTCCCCTCCATCCGGACCGTGTCTGACGACAGAGGTTGCATAGCTCGTGTCATCTCCCCCTTTTTTTGTTTTTTAATTGAAGCTGAAATGTCTTTAATTCGATGTAGGTCTTTTTGCATAGCTCGTGTCAAGACATCTTATGTAACACTTGAAATACTGTTTGGAAAAAAAAAATATCACAGACTTCTATTTAAACATTGCATAAGGTTAAGTCTTTTTGATCTTTCAGGCTATGCCTTAAGATTACAGAACAGAAAATGGTATCTTTTAAAGCAATTGTCTTTTACTTCCTACTTCAGTACAGAACTTAATATTATAATTTGTTTCAGGTTTCCAGATGATAGAAAAAATAAGACTTAAGTCAGCTTTTGACTCAGCAACAAAACAAGAAGAAATTTATCATGTCACCTTAGTCACCGATACATGTAACAGGAATATATCACATGTAATATGAAGTTCTAATAAAAATGACCTTGACTGTATTTTCATTGACTTTTGCATTGCAGTGTATGACTACAGATTTAATCTAAAACATCTAAATCATGAAAACCAAACCTATCTGAAATGCTTGAAATATCAATAACTACCATGAAATAAATTTTCCTTTCACTTGCTGTTCCACAAGAAATATCACAGAATGAAAGTTTGGTTGTCCCTAGTTAGAAAATAAAGGTAAGTGTAATAAATCTACGCTGAATATATCTACAGGAATATATGCTTAAACCCAAGAGAATCTCTTCTACATATATAGGACGTAAGACAACAGCATAATTTAAGAAGTAGGTAA